AAACAGATCTTGAAAGAATTTCAATATTTTCATTCTCGTAAAATACCTCGAGAACCGCAAATGCGTACTAAATAAAAAGAAGTCGAAAGAAAAATACATCGTTTCGTTGTGTTCACAAGAATGCGTCAAAAAATTCTTCTGAAATCTCGTCTAAAGTTTCATTCATAAAAACACTTTACGCAGTAAACGATGCGATGTTTTTATTCAACTTTTTCTAAAATTGTTTACTGGTCTTGATCGATATCTTACGAAAAAGATGCAATTTTGTCAATTTTGCTTAAATTTTGAATGAGATTCAAGAAGAATATTTTGACGCATTTTTGTGGGCACAGTAAAACGATGCAATTTCTCTTTCGACTTTTTTAAATTTATTATCATTTGCTGTTCTCGAAGTATTTTTATTATTTTTAGAAAGAAAATACTAAAATTTTTTCAACGATTATTTCATATAAAACAATGTTTTATAACAAGATACATTACCATAAATTTATTTATCCCAACATATATTAATATAAAAATTGAAGAAAATCTAAATAAATCCAATACTGTAATTTGTATAAGGCAACACGGACGAGTCACTTTTACCATCTGGTACCTGTCAGCGTTAACGCTAGATTTACGGAACCCGTCAAAATGGAGGGTCACTAATTTCATAATTTACGATTATTCTTACCGTAAAGATACAATTATGAATTATTTATTCAATTTATACGCTACTCACGGCAAATGTTACACTCGTTAAAAATCAGAATAAATGTCTTATCGTTACCTTTATAAATTAACATAAAACAGCTGTTTTTTTATGCTCCGTAAATCTATCGTTAATCCGAGTTATTTAATTTAATTTATAATCGAGTTATTTATTCAATTTATACGCAACTCACGGCAAATGTTGCACTCGTTAAAAATCAGAATAAATATCTTATCGTTATCTTTACAAACTAACATAAAACAGCTGTTTTTTTACGCTCCGTAAATCTATCGTTAATCCGAGTTATTCAATTTAATTTATAATCGAGTTATTTATTCAATTTATACGCTACTCACGACAAATGTTACACTCGTTAAAAATCAGAATAAATGTCTCATCGTTACCTTTATAAACTAATATAAAACAGCTGTTATTTTACGCTCCGTAAATCTATTGTTAATCCGAGTTATTTAATTTAATTTATAATCGAGTTATTTATTCAATTTATACGCAACTCACGGCAAATGTTGCACTCGTTAAAAATCAGAATAAATGTCTTATCGTTATCTTTACAAACTAACATAAAACAGCTGTTTTTTTATGCACCGTAAATCTATCGTTAATCCGCCGTGAAGATAAGACGAGGAGTTCCTCGACGATAGAAAAACTGACGATGAAAACTGATGAAAACGGCAGATGAAAACTGATCGTAGATCGAGCGCACGTGCTGCACTTTGTACAATGAACGCGCACGATAATGGAACGTCCTCAATTATCGACGTCGCGGACGCTATCGATGTTATGACATTCCACGTAACACGTAATATTGTTTACAACGCGGTGAACGCGCACGATCCTCGTTCACCCTATCGTCGTTAACATCTTCATGTGATTTTCATTCGAACACACTTATTACTTCGATTATACGATGGAAATCTGCTAATTCGCGAAACCGCGCGATTACGCAACAAGAGACTTAAACGTTTATTATTAAATTCCTGGTAGCTTAGAAGCTCCGCGAAATTTTCGCGTGTAACAATCGATCGTCGCGTTTCTCGGACGAACCCACCACGAACCTTCGAGGCTCATAAATAATCCCGAACGAGATCCTCGTGTACAGGGTGTCCCAAAAATGTCTCGCAATCCGAAAGTGGCGGGTTCCTCGGGTCATTCGAAGCAACTTTTTCCTTTACAAAAATTTTCTCCGAGGCACCGTTAACGAGTTATCAACGAAAAACAGTGACCAATGAGAGGCGTGCTCGGCTGGCGCGAGGCGACCGAGCCAATGAGCGGAACTGGGCTCCGCGCGCTGGTTGGCCGGGCCGCCTCGCGTCGGCCGTACTCGATTCTTATTGGTCACTGTTTTTCGTTAATAACTCGTTAACGGCGCCTCGGAGAAAATTTTTGTAAAGGAAGAAGTTGCTTCAAATGATCCGAGGAACCCGCCATTTCCGGATTGCAAGACATTTTTGGGACACCCTGTATAATCGATGCGCGCACAGTTCGGGAGAGTTACGGCGGCGGCCATAATAACTTCGGTTATTAAAATTCAAGGCGAGTCACCGGCTCCTCCGTAGAATTGCGGAAGGACCGTAGCGTCGTCCGTCGTAGAATGTAAAACACCTTGTAACGTTTCCGGCGTCGAGCGAAATTGCAGTGCGAAATCGGTCGTTATAACGTCGACGAACGATCGATCGATCGCTTCGGGGAGAGCAATTACGAACGATGCGCGATAATTATGTTGTTTGTGCCGTCAGAAATGGAGATGAGGTGTCTTTGGTGGCCGGTCCTGGTGGCCGTTGCCGCTTCCGGTTCGCCGACCATCGAGCAGCTGAAGGGCATCTATTCGTGGAAGTCGTTGGAATTCGATTTCCCGAGTGAATCTGATAGAATCGCGGCGATCCAAAGCGGAAATTATATACCTGGCGCGCCGGTTCCCATCGACGTCGACGTCTACAGTGCAGGTAAAGATGCGGAAAACTAACCATCGCGCCTCTTAGAACGAAGAACGAAAGCCATCGAGAAGCGGTCATCGCTCCGCGATTATGAAATTCGAAGCAATTGACATTTTATTTGCTGAAAATCTGTTAACAAGATTTCTATTAGAAATAAAGAATTAATGACCGGTTCGGGAACAACGAAAGACTGCTATCGAAATAGTTGGTGATCCACGATTATGGAATTCAAAGCAATTAATACTTTTTAATGATTCGGCAGTAAAAATAGCTCGACAATTTTCTTTTATATAGAGTGTCCCAAAAGTATGTTACTTTTGGGAAATAAGGGGTTCCCGAGGTCATTTGAAGCAACTTTTTCCTTTGCGAAAATGTTCTACGAAGCTTAGTTTGCGAGTTATTAACGAAAAACTGTGACCAATGAGAGGCGAGCTAGCGCTAGGCGGCTGAGCTAATCAGGGGAACTGGGCATTGGCCGCTCATTGGCTCGGTCGCCTCGCGTCAGGCCAGGTCGCCTCTCATTGGCCACTGTTTTTCGTTAATAACTCGTAAACAAATCCGTGGATTGCATTTCCGCAAAGGAAGAAGTTATTTGAAATTGCCTCAGCAATCACCTAATTCCGGAATTAACATAATTTTGGGACACTCTGCATAATAATTTCACGAGCAATTAATACATAAATTTAATCCAAATAATTTGTTGAATTACGGAAAAAATTACTATTGACAATTTTGAAATGATTATTGCAAAATAGGGCAAAAGTAAATAAAGAAGAGTTAGGATAAATTAAGGTAGACTAAGTGAACTTTTCGTAATGGATTGTAACCTTGAGAGATAAAATAAATAAGTTATTAGAAAATTGTCGGTACATAACGTGTTAGAAAAGAATTTAACCAAGAAGAATTATCACGAAGACATTTTTACAGGAAAACTTCTGTGAATGTTTAACAAAGTCTTTGTGTGTTTCATTCGCAACACAATAAAGATTAATGCTGTAGAAAATGATAACGTACTAGATTGGCGGTGTCGTTCTTGCGAAAATGGTATTATTATAGGGAATTATTATAGGGTGTTATTATTATAATGCGGTATAATTTGGTTCGTTTTTCTAGGTCAAAAGTCCAAGGTCTTTATCACCATACCGAGGTTTCAGAATGGTGTGCCAGTAACCTTGGGTTACGTCACCGATGATGTGTCGTCGAACGCGAATCCAATTATAGCACCTTATCCTAATTGGAGTTACAACACCATGGGAAGCTGTGACTCCATCACTAGCGTCTACAGGGTGCATGTAAGTCTCGGTGATTATAAATTTTCGAAAATCTTAGAACATTCTAGAAAATCGTAGAAAATTCTAGAAAATCTTAAAAAATTCTAGAAAATCGTAGAAAATTCTAGAAAATCGTAGAAAATTCTAGAAAATCTTAAAAAATTCTAGAAAATCTTAGAACATTTTAAAAAATCGTAGAAAATTCTAGAAAATCGTAGAATATTTTAGAAAATCGTGGAAAATTCTAGAAAATCTTAGAACATTCTAGAAAATCGTAGAAAATTCTAGAAAATCTCAGAACATTTTAAAAAATCGTAGAAAATTCTAGAAAATCGTAAAAAAGTCTAGAAAATCATAGAAAATTCTAGAAAATTATAGAAAATTCCAGAAAATCTTAGAACATTCTAGAAAATCGTAGAAAATTCTAGAAAATCGTAGAATATTTTAGAAAATTTTAAAAAATTCTAGAAAATCTTAGAACATTCTAGAAAATCGTAGAGAATTCTAGAAAATTTCAAAAATTCAAAAATATCTTAAAAAATTCTAGAAAATCTTAGAACATTCTAGAAAATCGTAGAACATTCTAGTAAGTCTCAGAAAATTCTAGCAAGTCTTAGAAAATCCTAGAAAATCTTAGAACATTTTAGAAAATCGTAGAAAATTCTAAAAAATCTTAAAAAATTCTAGAAAATCTTAGAACATTCTAGAAAATCGTAGAGAATTCTAGAAAAATTTTAAAAATTCAAAAATATCTTAAAAAATTCTAGAAAGTCTTAGAAAATACTAGAAAATTGTAGAGAATTCTAGAGAATCTTATCCATTTCTAGAAAACCCTCAATGCTCTCAGAACTTCTGGGAAACACCTCGAAGCTTCTGCCGATCACGGAAGAATTATTTGCACAATTGTCTAGAAACCGGATACAGTAGACGAGATTCCTAAGAACTTCCAGTAATTTCGATCAACTACAGTTTTCTCTCCTATTTCCCTAACAAACCAATGAACCTCGCGAACGGTCGGATCTCTTCCAGCTGTTGAATTACTTAAGCGTTCCTGCTTGCGAGAACTATTACACCATCGTGTTTGCCAATCGAACAGTTTAGGAGTCGGCACGTCGGACTTTGAATTCCTACGTTTCAACTATATCAATAACAGGAATCTTTTGATTTATTCTGGCAAACGTGGTCGTTACTTGCGATAACGAGACTCCCGTAACGATTGTTTCTTTCCTTTTTTTTTTGAACAATGATTAGGTATCGAAGAGACTGCGAATAACGTTCGAAAGACATCAGAAGCTCGTAAGGAAAGCATCTGTTTCCGGCATACACGTGCGCGTCGTGTGAGAAATGGGCAAATCCCAAGTGACAACGAACCGTCGTTAAATTGACACTGGGAAATCCCGAACGCTGAATGAAAAGATAACGGGGCACCGCTGTGTCATCGGCGTGACCGCATCAAATTTCTCCGTACACAAAATTACTTCAAAACGAGTCCCGGTCGATGAACCGGTCCCCGATGAACCGGTTCCATTCGGAAATTGACCGCACATATCACGATCTGACAGGAACAAAATGATGCAAGAAGCATCTGCCGTTTTTCTCGATTCGTTCGTTTTTCGATTTACAAGACGATCGCCGTGTTTACATTTCGATAAAAATTGTTTAGATAATTTCTTTCGAGACTCGCCACGTTAAAGAGAGCTGTCGTACTTACGTATTCACGCATGTCACGCGTGTGTCGTACACGCGCGTGAAATACATAATGCGCCTTTCGAATGCTTCTTTGGGACAACACGGCGATGATTCTAAACAGGTTACGTTGATAGCGAGCGGATATCATGGCAAAGCAATCTTAAGGGGAAAATTGACGAAATACGTATAAGGAAAACCGAGGTGCCACTTAACTGGACCTACTTTAGTAGGAAAGAGATCGTAGTGATTAGAAAGCGAAGGCCATGTTTTGTCCCAATTTCGAGCCTGTTACCGTTGGTTATCTCTTTCTCGAAATTAACGAACAAGGAAATTTTAACGATGAGATATGAACAGAAAATTCGAACAACACCATGCGATACTTTAGATACAAAAAGATCAATTCAATTAAATTTTGAGAATTATTCGAGTTCGCAGAATTATCGTTTTCCTATCGAAAAGATTCACGAAGCTATTGCAAATAGGGGAAAGCAAACGAGTGACTCGAAAAAACAGAGAACATCTGTTAATACTAGATATTTTCTTTGAAATAAACAAATAAGAAAATAAAAGTACACTAGGAAGACGAAAACGATTCCATACAAAGCTTTGAATACAACAAAATCAATTCGACTAAATTTTGAGCACTGTTCGAGTTCAGGAAATTATTATTTTCCTATCGAAAACTGCAGATTCACAAATAAAATGCAAATAAGGGAAAGCAAACGAGTGACTCGAAAAAGCAGGGAACATCTGTTAATATTAGATATTTTCTTTGAAATAAACGAATAAGAAAATAGAAGTACACTAGGAAGACGAAAACGATTCCGCGCAAAGCTTTGAATATAACAAAATCAATTTGACTAAATTCTGAACACTGTTTAAGTTCAGGAAATTATTATTTTTCTATCGAAAATCGCAGATTCACAAATCTAATGCAAATAGGGGAAAGCAAACGAGTGGCTCGAAGAAACACAAAACACCTGTTGATATCAGATATCTTCCTGAAAATAAACGAATAAGAAAATAAAAGTACACTAGGAAGACGAAAACAATTCCGCGCAAAGCTTTGAACACAACAAAATCAATTTGACTAAATTCTGAACACTGTTTAAGTTCAGGAAATTATTATTTTCCTATCGAAAATCGCAGATTCACAAATCTAATGCAAATAAGGGAAAGCAAACGAGTGACTCGAAAAAACAGAGAACATCTGTTAATATTAGATATTTTCCTTAAAATAAACAAATAAAAAAATAGAAGTTCACTAGGAAGACGAAAACAATTCCACGCAAAGCTTCGAACACAACAAAATCAATTTGACTAAATTTTGTATGTGAACACTGTACGAGTTCAGGAAATTATTATATTCCTATCAAAAAAACCTATATATATATATATATCACAAATCTATCTAGATGTATAAAAAACATGTTCGTCTCCAAGCAACAGAGAAACTTCAATTAACAATGTCCTCGTTATCGAAACGCTGAAAATCGTTCGCCGCGCTCTTTCGCCGCGTTCCGACGTTTTCCAATAAAAAATCGTCCGTTCTTTGCAACGTATTGCATCGCTGCGAGTAGAAAAAACATCGAGTTTACCTAACATTGTACACCTTTCTCCTGCAGATAGATGAAATGTCCCGGTTATGGGTGGTCGACACGGGCAAATTTGGCAACGATTGGATCTGTCCGCCGAAGTTGCACGTGTTCGACCTGCACACGGACAAGCTGATCACCAGGTACAAGTTCCCGAAGGATCAGTACAAGGAGGACTCCCTGTTCGTCACAGTGGCCGTGGACGTCAGAAACGAACCGTACAACGGCAACACCACCTACGCTTACATCGCGGACGTGACGGGTTTCGCGCTGATCGTCTACGACCACGAGCGCTCGAGGTCCTGGAAGATCAACAACAATCTTTTCTATCCTTATCCGCCGTACGGCACCTTCTACATCAAAGGGGACACGTTCGATCTGATGGACGGCATCATCGGACTCGCTTTGAGCCCCGCCGACGACGCGGACAGGACCCTGTACTTCCATTCGCTGGCCAGCAGAGTCGAATCCAAGGTGCCTACCTCTGTGATCAGGTCGGTTAATCGAGCAATCGTTCAGCAAGGTCGTACATTTATTAGGTCGAGCGGTGAATGTAGATAGTGATTCGGCAGATTTATTATTCAGAGTCGAAGTTTCGAACGTGTATAAACACTAAATAATAATATAAAATAATTATATTATAATTATATATATCATTATTATATATATTATAATTATATATATTATTATATATATTATTATTATATATATATATTATAATTATATATATTATTATAATTATATATATTATTATATATATATTATATTATTATATTATATTAATATAATTATATTAAATAATAATATAAACACTAAACTTACCGCGGTCAAAGTGACCGCCTTTTCTTATTTTGCAATTCTGCAAAGTCCCGAGACTGTTTCATGGAAAATGCTTGAATATGTTACATTATTGGAGCAAGTTTTATAATGAAAACTTTACAAAATCTAAATAAATTCGGTCTTCTTACTTTTGTGAAGCAGTACACGCCAGTTAGTATTACTGCTTGGTAGGTTTAGTGTTAATGAAGGCTCGGTGCGAACTGTTTCTAACGTCGGTTCGCCATTTGTCGAAACGAATAAACGTCATGGAATGTATTAACCCTTTGCACTCGAGTGGTGACTCTGAGGCACCACTAAAATCGTCGCACCACGTTCCAAAATATTATAATATAAAATAATATAATATAAAAAAATAATATAATATAAAATATTATAATATAATTGTCAAAAGTCTAACTGTTGTACGAGTCAACAAGACTCGATTTCATACGCATGAAATACGCTTTGTGGTATAAAATGGAAATAAGTCAGAAAAATTAATTTAGATTTACAGTTAAAATGGCTTCGAGTGCAAAGGGTTAAACAATTCTCTTAAACAATCCTCAGTATTTTACAGGGTGTCCCAAAATTATGGTACTTCTGAGAAATTAGAGATTACTGAGGTCATTCGAAGCAACTTTTTCCTTTACAAAAATGTTCTCCGAGGCATCGTTAACGAGTTATTAACGAAAAACAGTGACCAATGAGAGTCCAGCCAACGAGCGCGCAAAGCCCAGTTCCGCTCATTGGCTCGGCCGTCTAGCGAGCTCGCTCCTCATTGGTCATTGCTTTTCGTCGATAACTCGTAAACGATGCTTCGGAATAAATTTTTGTAAAGGAAAAAGTTATTTCAAATCACCTCAGGAACTCGTAATTTTCTGGAAATACCATAATTTTGGAACACCCTGTATAGCTGACACAACGCATTCTACATAAATAACTTCCGAGTCACCTGGACGAATTTTGGCTTTCACCGAATAGACAAGGGATGAAAATAAATGAAATAAAACGGAATAAATGAAATTAAAAAAGAAAGCAAAATAAGTGTCTGATAAAGAAGCAGAAGATATTTATGACTCGTCCTAATAGTTTAGATAAAGGATGAAAATAAATTAAATAAAACAGAATAAATGAAATTAAAAAAAAGCAAAATAAGTGTTTGATAAAGAAGCAGAAGTTATTTATGACTCGTCCTAATAGTTTAGATAAGAGATGAAAATAAATGAAATAAAACGGAATAAATGAAATTAAAAAAGAAAGCAAAATAAGTGTCTGATAAAGAAGCAGAAGTTATTTATGACTCGTCCTAATAGTTTAGATAAGAGATGAAAATAAATGAAATAAAACGGAATAAATGAAATTAAAAAAGAAAGCAAAATAAGTGTCTGATAAAGAAGCAGAAGTTATTTATGACTCGTCCTAATAGTTTAGATAAGAGATGAAAATAAATGAAATAAAACGGAATAAATGAAATTAAAAAAGAAAGCAAAATAAGTGTCTGATAAAGAAGCAGAAGTTATTTATGACTCGTCCTAATAGTTTAGATAAGAGATGAAAATAAATGAAATAAAACGGAATAAATGAAATTAAAAAAGAAAGCAAAATAAGTGTCTGATAAAGAAGCAGAAGTTATTTATGACTCGTCCTAATAGTTTAGATAAGAGATGAAAATAAATGAAATAAAACGGAATAAATGAAATTAAAAAAGAAAGCAAAATAAGTGTCTGATAAAGAAGCAGAAGTTATTTATGACTCGTCCTAATAGTTTAGATAAGAGATGAAAATAAATGAAATAAAACGGAATAAATGAAATTAAAAAAGAAAGCAAAATAAGTGTCTGATAAAGAAGCAGAAGTTATTTATGACTCGTCCTAATAGTTTAGATAAGAGATGAAAATAAATGAAATAAAACGGAATAAATGAAATTAAAAAAGAAAGCAAAATAAGTGTCTGATAAAGAAGCAGAAGTTATTTATGACTCGTCCTAATAGTTTAGATAAGAGATGAAAATAAATGAAATAAAACGGAATAAATGAAATTAAAAAAGAAAGCAAAATAAGTGTCTGATAAAGAAGCAGAAGTTATTTATGACTCGTCCTAATAGTTTAGATAAGAGATGAAAATAAATGAAATAAAACGGAATAAATGAAATTAAAAAAGAAAGCAAAATAAGTGTCTGATAAAGAAGCAGAAGTTATTTATGACTCGTCCTAATAGTTTAGATAAGAGATGAAAATAAATGAAATAAAACGGAATAAATGAAATTAAAAAAGAAAGCAAAATAAGTGTCTGATAAAGAAGCAGAAGTTATTTATGACTCGTCCTAATAGTTTAGATAAGAGATGAAAATAAATGAAATAAAACGGAATAAATGAAATTAAAAAAGAAAGCAAAATAAGTGTCTGATAAAGAAGCAGAAGTTATTTATGACTCGTCCTAATAGTTTAGATAAGAGATGAAAATAAATGAAATAAAACGGAATAAATGAAATTAAAAAAGAAAGCAAAATAAGTGTCTGATAAAGAAGCAGAAGTTATTTATGACTCGTCCTAATAGTTTAGATAAGAGATGAAAATAAATGAAATAAAACGGAATAAATGAAATTAAAAAAGAAAGCAAAATAAGTGTCTGATAAAGAAGCAGAAGTTATTTATGACTCGTCCTAATAGTTTAGATAAGAGATGAAAATAAATGAAATAAAACGGAATAAATGAAATTAAAAAAGAAAGCAAAATAAGTGTCTGATAAAGAAGCAGAAGTTATTTATGACTCGTCCTAATAGTTTAGATAAGAGATGAAAATAAATGAAATAAAACGGAATAAATGAAATTAAAAAAGAAAGCAAAATAAGTGTCTGATAAAGAAGCAGAAGTTATTTATGACTCGTCCTAATAGTTTAGATAAGAGATGAAAATAAATGAAATAAAACGGAATAAATGAAATTAAAAAAGAAAGCAAAATAAGTGTCTGATAAAGAAGCAGAAGTTATTTATGACTCGTCCTAATAGTTTAGATAAGAGATGAAAATAAATGAAATAAAACGGAATAAATGAAATTAAAAAAGAAAGCAAAATAAGTGTCTGATAAAGAAGCAGAAGTTATTTATGACTCGTCCTAATAGTTTAGATAAGAGATGAAAATAAATGAAATAAAACGGAATAAATGAAATTAAAAAAGAAAGCAAAATAAGTGTCTGATAAAGAAGCAGAAGTTATTTATGACTCGTCCTAATAGTTTAGATAAGAGATGAAAATAAATGAAATAAAACGGAATAAATGAAATTAAAAAAGAAAGCAAAATAAGTGTCTGATAAAGAAGCAGAAGTTATTTATGACTCGTCCTAATAGTTTAGATAAGAGATGAAAATAAATGAAATAAAACGGAATAAATGAAATTAAAAAAGAAAGCAAAATAAGTGTCTGATAAAGAAGCAGAAGTTATTTATGACTCGTCCTAATAGTTTAGATAAGAGATGAAAATAAATGAAATAAAACGGAATAAATGAAATTAAAAAAGAAAGCAAAATAAGTGTCTGATAAAGAAGCAGAAGTTATTTATGACTCGTCCTAATAGTTTAGATAAGAGATGAAAATAAATGAAATAAAACGGAATAAATGAAATTAAAAAAGAAAGCAAAATAAGTGTCTGATAAAGAAGCAGAAGTTATTTATGACTCGTCCTAATAGTTTAGATAAGAGATGAAAATAAATGAAATAAAACGGAATAAATGAAATTAAAAAAGAAAGCAAAATAAGTGTCTGATAAAGAAGCAGAAGTTATTTATGACTCGTCCTAATAGTTTAGATAAGAGATGAAAATAAATGAAATAAAACGGAATAAATGAAATTAAAAAAGAAAGCAAAATAAGTGTCTGATAAAGAAGCAGAAGTTATTTATGACTCGTCCTAATAGTTTAGATAAGAGATGAAAATAAATGAAATAAAACGGAATAAATGAAATTAAAAAAGAAAGCAAAATAAGTGTCTGATAAAGAAGCAGAAGTTATTTATGACTCGTCCTAATAGTTTAGATAAGAGATGAAAATAAATGAAATAAAACGGAATAAATGAAATTAAAAAAGAAAGCAAAATAAGTGTCTGATAAAGAAGCAGAAGTTATTTATGACTCGTCCTAATAGTTTAGATAAGAGATGAAAATAAATGAAATAAAACGGAATAAATGAAATTAAAAAAGAAAGCAAAATAAGTGTCTGATAAAGAAGCAGAAGTTATTTATGACTCGTCCTAATAGTTTAGATAAGAGATGAAAATAAATGAAATAAAACGGAATAAATGAAATTAAAAAAGAAAGCAAAATAAGTGTCTGATAAAGAAGCAGAAGTTATTTATGACTCGTCCTAATAGTTTAGATAAGAGATGAAAATAAATGAAATAAAACGGAATAAATGAAATTAAAAAAGAAAGCAAAATAAGTGTCTGATAAAGAAGCAGAAGTTATTTATGACTCGTCCTAATAGTTTAGATAAGAGATGAAAATAAATGAAATAAAACGGAATAAATGAAATTAAAAAAGAAAGCAAAATAAGTGTCTGATAAAGAAGCAGAAGTTATTTATGACTCGTCCTAATAGTTTAGATAAGAGATGAAAATAAATGAAATAAAACGGAATAAATGAAATTAAAAAAGAAAGCAAAATAAGTGTCTGATAAAGAAGCAGAAGTTATTTATGACTCGTCCTAATAGTTTAGATAAGAGATGAAAATAAATGAAATAAAACGGAATAAATGAAATTAAAAAAGAAAGCAAAATAAGTGTCTGATAAAGAAGCAGAAGTTATTTATGACTCGTCCTAATAGTTTAGATAAGAGATGAAAATAAATGAAATAAAACGGAATAAATGAAATTAAAAAAGAAAGCAAAATAAGTGTCTGATAAAGAAGCAGAAGTTATTTATGACTCGTCCTAATAGTTTAGATAAGAGATGAAAATAAATGAAATAAAACGGAATAAATGAAATTAAAAAAGAAAGCAAAATAAGTGTCTGATAAAGAAGCAGAAGTTATTTATGACTCGTCCTAATAGTTTAGATAAGAGATGAAAATAAATGAAATAAAACGGAATAAATGAAATTAAAAAAGAAAGCAAAATAAGTGTCTGATAAAGAAGCAGAAGTTATTTATGACTCGTCCTAATAGTTTAGATAAGAGATGAAAATAAATGAAATAAAACGGAATAAATGAAATTAAAAAAGAAAGCAAAATAAGTGTCTGATAAAGAAGCAGAAGTTATTTATGACTCGTCCTAATAGTTTAGATAAGAGATGAAAATAAATGAAATAAAACGGAATAAATGAAATTAAAAAAGAAAGCAAAATAAGTGTCTGATAAAGAAGCAGAAGTTATTTATGACTCGTCCTAATAGTTTAGATAAGAGATGAAAATAAATGAAATAAAACGGAATAAATGAAATTAAAAAAGAAAGCAAAATAAGTGTCTGATAAAGAAGCAGAAGTTATTTATGACTCGTCCTAATAGTTTAGATAAGAGATGAAAATAAATGAAATAAAACGGAATAAATGAAATTAAAAAAGAAAGCAAAATAAGTGTCTGATAAAGAAGCAGAAGTTATTTATGACTCGTCCTAATAGTTTAGATAAGAGATGAAAATAAATGAAATAAAACGGAATAAATGAAATTAAAAAAGAAAGCAAAATAAGTGTCTGATAAAGAAGCAGAAGTTATTTATGACTCGTCCTAATAGTTTAGATAAGAGATGAAAATAAATGAAATAAAACGGAATAAATGAAATTAAAAAAGAAAGCAAAATAAGTGTCTGATAAAGAAGCAGAAGTTATTTATGACTCGTCCTAATAGTTTAGATAAGAGATGAAAATAAATGAAATAAAACGGAATAAATGAAATTAAAAAAGAAAGCAAAATAAGTGTCTGATAAAGAAGCAGAAGTTATTTATGACTCGTCCTAATAGTTTAGATAAGAGATGAAAATAAATGAAATAAAACGGAATAAATGAAATTAAAAAAGAAAGCAAAATAAGTGTCTGATAAAGAAGCAGAAGTTATTTATGACTCGTCCTAATAGTTTAGATAAGAGATGAAAATAAATGAAATAAAACGGAATAAATGAAATTAAAAAAGAAAGCAAAATAAGTGTCTGATAAAGAAGCAGAAGATATTTATGACTCGTCCTAATAGTTTAGATAAGGGATGAAAATAAATTAAATAAAACAGAATAAATGAAATTAAAAAAAAGCAAAATAAGTGTTTGATAAAGAAGCAGAAGTTATTTATGACTCGTCCTAATAGTTTAGATAAGGGATGAAAATAAATTAAATAAAACAGAATAAATGAAATTAAAAAAAAGCAAAATAAGTGTTTGATAAAGAAGCAGAAGTTATTTACGATTCGACCTAATAGTTTCCTTTCTAAATTTCTAATTTTCTTTCTAAATTCTGTCTCTCAGCTTGTAAACAAAAATGGCCATTTTCGAAGAGGCAAATCGAGCCTCGCGTCTCGTTTTCATAGTTGTTGACTAATCGGCGACTATAAAAACGAGGCCGCGAGGCCCGAATGATCGTGCCTCCTCTCCTCCCAAATTGTCCGCTTCTGTTTACAAGCTGCGGGAGACATTACTGAGAATTCACTGTACCCGGTTCTGTGTTCAGGAATCACTCTCTATTTCATGGCAACGTCGAAGCTTCGCCTAGGTCCTTCGTTCCTTTCGCGAACGAGAGGTCCTCGCAGTCAGCGGCGCAGGCTATGGACCGCAACGGTGTACTCTTCTACGGTTTAATGTCCGATTTGGCTATCGGATGCTGGAACAGCAAGAAGTACCCGGAATACGGCAGTCATAACAACGATATTCTCGTCACCAATGAGGACACGTTGCAGTTCCCTTCTGGAATGAAGGTGATGTCTTCGAATACTATGATTTCTTTAGTAACAGACCGCGAGTTTTACGACTAAAATGGGCTGCTGAGAAAAATCATCGAAATTAATTTTGTTAATATTATTATTATTTAATATTATTAAATTAATAATATATATAATATATAATTAAATTAATATTATTAAATTAATAATATATATAATATATAATTAAATTAATATTATTAAATTATTAATATTATTATTTAATATTAACCCTTTGAGGACGAACTAGCGACGACATTAGGACTGTATCTCTTATATTAATACAACTTGACGACGATGCGTACAACGAAGATACATTGTTCACTTTTCCTTTTTATTTAGTTTTTCCGTATGTAATTTAATTCGTCTCGAGGAAGATATTCTCTTTTCGAACTCCCCGTTCGCAAAATAGTTAAAAGAATTTAAGAGCAACTGTGCGTTATTTTTAACTCACTATAAGTTATTGAAGAAAGAAGAGAATTTCCATCTGACTCGTGTTTGTCGCAATCGACGAAGATCATTTTTATTTTGAGCAAAGATCCGTAGCCTAATATTTAAAACACGTTCAAACATTGTACTTGTACAGGATGTCCAATAATTGTATTAATATACAGAAGGGGTTCATTCCTCAGGTCATTTGAAACAACTTTTTCCTTAGCGAAAATGTTCTACGAAGCTTCGTTTACGAGTTATTAACGAAAAACACTGACCAATGAGAGGCCAGCTCGCTTAGCGCTAGGCGGCCGAGCCAATCAGCGGAACTGGGCTTCGTGCGCTCGTTCGCTGCGCCGCTACGCGACAGCCGCGCTCGCCTCTCATTGGTCAGCGTTTTTCGTTGATAACTCGCAAACGAAGCCGCGGATTGCATTTTCGCTAAGGAAAAAGTTACTTGAAATAACCTCAGGAATCACCCCTTCCCGGCGTTAACATAATTATGCGACATCCCGTAGTTTTCTTTCTAACTGACGGTATTTCAGGCTAACATTTTCACAGTGTATTCGACTGACGAACGTGTCTCGATTGCAGATCATCACCACGCATAAGGGGAAACAGGAGCTGTGGGTGTTGTCTGCGTCGTTCCAAAGGTACATGAGCGGCTCGTTGAATCACACCGAGACCAACTTCCGGATCCAAGCTGGCTTCGTGAACGAGTTGATTCGCGGCACAAAATGCGACTTCGCCAGCCCTTCGGGGATACGTCAGACCTCGACATGAAAACAATGGCACCGCGGACAGTTCTTCAGCTATTATCGCGAGAGATCGTCGCCGTTTTGGCGGTACTCGGTCTTCACGAGCAGACCGTTCCTCGCCAGCGAATATTATACGTCGTCCTATCCGCGAAAGTATTTCTACAGCCGTCATTATCCTTATTTGCGATCTGTGGATCACGGTTACACAGTTTTCGTCGATCACGATTGATCGAACCGTACGACGGAGCATTTGTCATTTTCTCGAATTTTAATATACCATTGTTTTTACCGCGGTTGCTGCAAACCTATTGTATCTGCATTTAAATGTTTCTCTCCTTGTACCGTGACAGAATTCTGAAAAATTCAGAACAAAGTACAGTAAATTCTCCCTAATTTTCGTTTAGATTGTTAACAAAAATGGACAATTTGGGAAGAGGAGTTACGATTATTTGAGCCTTGCAGCTCGTTTTTATAATTATATAACTATAAATATATATTTATATTAATTTAATTTAAATATTATAATATATATATGTAATTGATTATAAATATTATATTTAAATTATTATATATTATATAATGATACATATATATGAATATTATTATACATTAATATTTATATAAATAGTTGTGAATATTATATTTAAATTATTATATATTATATAATGATACATATATTAATATTATTATACTTTAATATTTATATAAATAGTTGCGAATATTATATTTAAATTATTATATATTATGTAATAATATATATTAATATTTATATAAATAACTATAAATATTATATTTATAAATATTAATTTAAATATTATAAATTAAATATATAGTTGTATTGTAACTATAGAAATGAGTCACGAGGCTCGAATAATTATATTCTCCTCTTACCAAATTGTCCATTTTGGTTCACAAGCCGAAGGAAAATCGGAGAAAATTTATTTTTTAGAACGAAACAGTGTAATATTTGAGATTTCTGTGTCGCTGCTCGCGGTGCTGCAAACGTAATGGACATTCTTGGAATTGGGAAGATTTTGGCGTCGATATGCCAGAGAGGCCGCTATTCCAGTTCTTTTCCAGGGTTTCGATTTATTTAGTCGATCGGTATATTTATTGTTGCGTGCGTAATTGTGCAAACGAGTCTAGAGAGCATGTTGCCTGTGTGAGAGCCTGTAGAACGGAATGACTGACTTTTGTTTCTTTCGTCGATGATCCGCCGTCGATTAGGTCTACACCGGATAGTTCCTAATTCATCGAAAGATCGCGTACAATTTGTATCTCATAAATACGCATTTTTCTGTATTAATAATGTACAAACTACGAGGGAAATAACAACAAAATATTGTCCTGAGTTTCTGTCCTGTGCATTTATTCCGACATCTACTCCGAACACTCTCGATCCAATATTATCGTTTCAAACGTTGCGATAATTACTCATTTGTGGTTGGAACACCTTCTTTCGTAATTCAAGTCGCAACTTTCTAACCCTTTTAACCCTTAAACATTGGACGAATAGGCACGATTGTTTCGATGAAAATATATCAACGAAGTTTTATTTAAAAAATCTCTTCTCTATATTATATTATATTATATTATATATTTATTATATTATTTTATTATATTTTTATATAATAAATATATTTAATTATATTATTATATTTATTTATTATATATTTATTATATTATATTGTATTATATTATATTATATTATATTATGTTATATTATGTTATATTATATTATATTATATCTCTCTTCGTCTCTTTTTATTATATTATATATAATAAATATATTATATTATATTATATTAAATTTCTCTTCGTCTGTGAAAAACAGTGGACTGGACTTGGCAGTGTGTAAACTGGAAATAAATAATTTTGGTCCCCTAAGGGTTAATTATTTGTCCGTATCTTCGACGCTCGAGAACGCTGTCGCTGTTCCGAGAACACGCGAAAAGCGTTATTTTCTATATTTTTCATTTTCCTAAGCACTCGCGACGTCGTAGCTTTTTCATGTTAACGTTGATAATAGAACTACGAAGTTGCTTAAACTGTTTTCGTCAATGATTTACCGGCCGGTGATGCACATTCAAATTATTTCTGCCGGCCGCATTCATAAATAATCATATAAACTCGAGGTTATCCTGTGGAAAATATAGAAGTTATGATATGACACGAACATTAGAAATTTCTCGAAGCTGTTTTCGACCTCATAAAGAGAATTTCGAAGAAATTTAAAGAAGAAAATTAACCCTTTCGGTACACGCGAGCGCGTTGTCCGCCGTGACACTCCCACTGTACGGGGTGCCGCGCCGAAAATGCGCACATAACGCAGGATCAGTCGACTTTTGTACGAAGATTTTCTTAAGCGTTAAGTAATGACTGTGCTTAATCCGTTTCTAAATCTTTCTTTAAATGTTTCCTGTAAACATTCTGTAAAGGGCCTACAGAAATATGCCAGATGTATTCGGCACTCGTCCATATTGGTCATCAGATGGACGCCGGATATATCCGGCGCTCGTACCAAAAGGGTTAATGGTTACAGAAACTTTTCGCTCGACTGTTTTTTTTTGTAACGCTAATGGAACGCTTACCCGAAAGAGACGATCAGAAATTCATACCGACCGATGTCACATAATCTACAATTATGACATATTTAAAAATAAATTTTCTACAGCATTAACTAGTACCATTTCGTATTTGCTCTACGCGATAAATTTGCTGTTACTCATGCCAGCGAATGACTTCATAAACGCATATACGGTATATTTGTAATTTAGATGTCTGTTAGTGCTAATTACGCGGAAAATTTAACAAAATGTGACAGCCGCATCGTTTAACGAATAATTATAGTTCCTCGAAATTTTCCGTCTGATAATTATGCGCATACTTCGAACTAAGATTACACGCGGGGAAGAACAGTTTTAAAATGCGGGATTTTACAATTGTAGAATTACGGATTGCAGGGTATTCGGTGTTGATTTTGTTAGCGAAATTATGATACTTCGATACCTTGAAGTATTTGAGCCGTTCATTTTGAAAGTGGCATAAGTCACTTTGTTTTTAAGTCGATATATTTAAGGGTTTGCGTTTGAACACGTTTAAAAATATGGATGCTAACTTTCGAGAAATTTACTTGTATTTGTTATCTCAGGATACTGATATTTTTCTCAGTATAAATAATTTCGTATAAACATTAAAAAATCACCACTTTTCATTACGGTAAAGTGACTTATGCCACTTTCAAAATAAACGGCTCATTTACGGCCAACTATTACGAAAGACCGATCGAGGCGAGCTGCGCGGTTTTGTAAATTAAGCGACTTTGGCAAATTACAGTAATGTCTCTCTAACTGATGCTAAGATTGTCCACAAAAATGGACAATTTTGGAAGAGGAGATATTCGAGCCTTGTAGCTCGTTTTTATAGTTGGTTGGCAATTCGTAACTATAAAAACGAACTGCAAGGCTCGAACAATCGTATCTACTCTTCCCAAATTGTTCATTTTCGTGGACAACCTGTGCGTCAATTAGAGAGACATTACTGTACATGTTTGCTGAATAATTCGCGGGAAACCTAAAGCAAACGCGATAACACGAGGATTAATAAAATGCCCTTCATCCTCGGCGGCTGCACCGTTATCAACGTTCGGTCAACAAGTAATAAATGAGCCGTTTATTTTGAAAGTGGCATAAGTCACTTTTTCAAAAAAATCGAGTTAATGGTAACACTAATTACAATTGAACGGTATCTTTTCATTAAAAAAAAAAGAAAAAAAAGTGACTTATGCCACTTTCAAAATAAACGGCTCAAATGTATCACGAATTATGACATTTTTCTTACGTTCACCTCGATTCAGTAATAATTGTTATCGTATGAATATATCGTAAATATTCTTAGATCTCTCTTGCAACTTTTTTATTTTCACGATTCCGTCTCGTTTAAAATTCAGAAATAGTTACGGCTGATTTTATTTATCATCGAACACGCATTATTTATTAATAATAAAAAGAATATCATCGATCTCCGTTGCTCTCTATGCGTTAAAAATCGATAAAACTGTACAGAGGATGCCCCCTCCCCCAAAAATATTCAATTAAAAGCAGTCGTAATTTTCCCTAATTTTCGCGCGGAACCTAAAGCAAACGCGATAACGATAGCGAGGATTAATAAAATGCCCTTCATCCTCGGCGGCTGCACCGTTGTCGACGTTCGGTAAACAAGTAATAAACGTATCACGAATTATGACATTTTTCTTACGTTCACCTCGATTCAGTAATAATTGTTATCGTATGAATATTATTGTAAATATTTTTAGATCTCTTTTTCAACCTTTTCATTTTCGCAATTCCGTCTCGTTTAAAATTATCATCGAACACGCATTATTTATTAATAATAGAAAAGAGTATTATCGATCCCCGTTGTTCTCTACGCGTTAAAAAATCGAGAAAAATTAAAAGCAGTCGTAATTTTCCGAACCGATAATCATTTTCAGCCCGATAATAATTCATTCGCCTCATCGAACGGTGTCATCGATTGTCTGAATGGTAACCATTATACGTTGCCCTCGAGAGAGGAAAAAAAGATATTGCACACACATATATTGTAAATATATGTATTATTCTTCTTTTCCTAGTACTATGTACATTTATTGCTATCGCTTGTGGCTTATCAGTTCGCAAGGTAGAAGGCCGGCATTGTATATTTATTGCGCCGACATTTATACACCCACCTGTCGCTGTGCTTCTGCCTCAGTGTTCGTTGACCGTCCAACTCCATTCATTAGCGGCGTGAGAAAACCCCTCGACGTAAGTAGACCCTTCTGTACGGCGGCTATTTCACGCGGAAGTAAGGGAAACGTTGACTGGAAGCTCCGCGAAAAGATTTTTTCCTACTTTTTCTTGTAAAAACACTGCTTTTTCTAATTGTCAACCTCTCGCTGTACTTTGACGAGGCCGATTCAATATTTCGTTCCTTTAATCAGTCACGGTAAATTTTCCCTAATTGACGACGATAGTAGATTAGTAATATAATAGATAGTAATATGAGATATTATTATATTATATAAATATAATAAAATTTTACTAATAGTATTATATTACATAAATATAATAATATTATACTAATAGTGTATTATATTATATAAACATAATAATATTATACTAATAGTATTATATTATATAAATATAATAATATTATACTAATAGTATTATATTACATAAATATATATAGTACTAATAGTATTATATTATATAAATATAGTACTAATAGTATTATATTATATAAATATAATACCAATATTATTATCTAATAAAATCCAATACAGGATGTCCCAAAAATGTCTCGCAATCCGGAAATGGGGGGTTTCTGAGGTCATTTGAAGCAACTTTTTCCTTAGCGAAAATGTTCTACGAAGCTTCGTTTACGAGTTATTAACGAAAAACGGTGACCAATGAGATTCGTGCTCGGCTGACGCGAGGCGGCCGAGTCAATCAGCGGAACTAGGATTCGCGCGCTCGTTGGCTCAGCCGCCACGCGCCGGCTGATCTTTGCTTCTCATTGGTCACTGTTTTTCGTTAATAACTCGAAAACGAAGCGGCAGATTATATGTTCGCTAAGGAAAAAGTTATTTTACTGTATTAGTTATGTTAGTTAGTTAAGTCAGTAAGTTATGTTACTATGTTACTGTCATTATCGAATGCAGTTTTTCAGGAACATGTCAGCCGCGTGGTTGTTAGCATTCTGCATCGGCGCAATTTGCCTCGAGAACCAACTAGCTGCATCATTGGAACTTCGGAACCATGACTTGGAGACGATCGTCGAGTTCAAATACTTGGACTACGAATACGAAAGCGAAAAACAAAAACAAGCAGTCCTGAACTGCACTGGTTACGTGAAGAAGAACAACAGCCCTATCGATGTCGACGTTTGGTATAATAGTTGTAAGATATCTTTATTCTCGTATCAAAATGAATTAGTTCAGAAAAAATTAAGGATCAGATGTTACAATGTTCAACGTTCTATCAATTAACACGTGTGCTATTTCCCTGACAAAATTTGATCTTCGTTCGAGAAATGTTAAAAAGACTAGTAGCTTCGTAAAATGGTTTTGAACGATCTTTTTCCATAAATTTTGTTTATTTTTTATTTATTTATATATACTATATATACTATACATACTATATATACTATCTATATACTATACATACTATATATGTACTATAATACTACAAATAGTATACACGTAATCGAAATAGAAACGGAAATCTTGAATCCCGATGCCAAGGGTGAACGTCGAATATTTATTTTCTTCGTCCCGCTCGACGTTCAAATTGCGTTTGTTGTAATTAATATTGATGCGAAAGTGCAATCGTGGTTTTAAGATGTCACGGTTTTTCATGCACGTTGATTGCGATTCTTCTCTGCGACGCGATCTCTAGATACCAGGGAGAAGAAAATATTCGTCACCGTGCCAAGGGGTAAGGGCGTGCCCTCGACACTGAACACCGTGTCCAAGAAAAAGGGCGACGGCGGTCCTCTTCTCAAGCCTTATCCTAACTGGTCGCTGGCCAAAACAGATTGCAGTGGCATCTACAGCGTCTACAGAGTCGACGTAAGTTGAATTTCAAAATCAGCTGGACCCGGTTGTTCGAAACGTTCGGTTAACAATTTCACTTTGTCGGAGGAGCGCGCACGACGCCGAATTAATCGCGTTTCGAACGATACGAACCGTGCGATACAAGCGGCACCGTTTCATCGAAACATTCGTAAAACACAAAGCGAGAAGCGACGATTACGTTCGCATCTATTTATCCAAGAAGTTTTTATTCTGCACAGATCCTGAGGCACTACTTGTACGTGCTGGACAACGGAAAATTGGACGACGATGCGGTTTGCCCGCCTAGGCTTCTCTGTTTCGACCTGTATACCGACAAAATTGTGATGAACGTGACGATACCGCACGATATCGCGTTCAACAGCACGACGGGACAGGGGCTCTTGGTCACACCGATCGTTGTGCCATCCCTGACGGAACTAATATTCCCACTGGCCAGCAGAGTAAGCGAAGCAGTTTAACTTTTCTATAGAATTTTCAGCGATAAGAAACATATGTAAGAGAGCGCTCTTGCAACGATAACGTTAATACCAAAATTTCTGGAAATGTTACCGGTAGATATCAGTTCGTGATATCAATTACCGAATATTTCGATTAGGGTAAGTCCGGGAGAGTTCGGCCAGCGAGAGCGACCGGCCAGTGTAAATACAGTAATTTCTCCGTAATTCGCGCTCAGATTGCACACAAAAATGGACAATTTGGGATGAGGTGATACGATTATTCGAGCCTTTTATAGTAGAGCTTCGGCACGATTTTATAGTTAGATTTTATATCTAAACTTTGCCGTTTCATTCCGATCGGATATCTGTTCGACCGAACTGATCAGATTGTTCGTCATTTTACCACAGGTTTATATAGCAGATCCGACTGGCCACGCATTGATCGTTTACAACGGCTTGTTCAACTCGTTCAAGCGACTGACATCGAGCGCAATGAACGTCGATCCAGCCGCAGTGACTTACACGATCAACGGGCAATCTTTCCAACTCGAAGATAGCATCGTAGGAATGGCCGTGTCTCCTAAATCCAAGAGACTTTACGCCAGCCCCATGTCCTCCTATAACATGATCGACGCCGACTATATAACGCTCCTATTCGCGGAACGCAACGCAAACTTCCAAGTGTAATTATGACGTCGATTATTTATAGAATTTATGAAAATTGAAATAGAGTTTTACAGATTGTCCGAAAATTATTGTACAAGCAAGAAATGAGAGATTCCTGAGGCCATTTGAAGTAACTTTTTTCTCAGCGAAAATGCAATCCGCGGCTTCGTTTGCGAGTTATCAACGAAAAACAGTGACCAATGAGAAGCGAAGATCAGCCGGCGCGTGGCGGTCGAGCCAACGAGCGCGCGATCCCTAGTTCCGCTCATTGGCTCGGCTGACGCGAGGCGGTCGAGCTCGCCTCTCATTGGTCACTGTTTTTCGTTAATAACTCGTAAACAAAGCTTCGTAGAACATTTTCGCTAAGGAAAAAGTTACTTCAAATTAGCTTAGGAACCCATCATTTCCCGTTTTCGAGGCTGATGTTTCATTAATGTTTTCAATTTTGTAATCGTAGATACAAGAACATTCTGCCTACTCAGTCGAGTGCCAAAGCGTTCTCTCAATCGGGCATTCTGTTCTTTGGACTTGTGAACAGCACATCTATCGGATGCTGGTACGAGGGGCGGTCTCTTCGACAGGACAATATGGTTGGTTTGCAAGCAACGTTTTACGTAGAAATTTTTAAGTATGACAAAAACGATCGAAGTATTTGATATTTGGGAAACTAAAAATGATGAACAATGAGAGGCGAGCTCGGCTAGCGCCGAGAAAGTCTAGAATGTCCAGAAGGTCCAGAAGTTCTAGAAGTTCCAGAAGTTCCAGAAAGTCCAGGAGTTCCAGAACTGGAACTTTCTTTCTAACCGTCACGCGTCAGCCAAGCTCGCCTCTCATTGGCCAATGTTTTTCGTTAATAACTCGTAAACAAAGCCACGGATCGCATTTCCGCTAAGGAAAAAGTTACTTGAAATGACCTCAGGAATCATCCATTTCCGGGTGTTAACATAGTTAGGGGACACCTAATGTTGGTCAAGGGTCTAACTTTGATATTACGATTTCTGAATCGCAGATCATAATCGCTGAAAACTCCAAAACTCTACAATTCACCAGCGGCATGAAAGTGAGACAGGACCCTAATCTGGGCCAAGAGCGTTTATGGGCTTTAACGTCCAGATACCAAAAACTAGCTACCAACACTTTGAACGTGACAGAAGTCAATTTCCGAATTTTGAGCAGATGCGTGTCGGACTTGGTAAAAGACACGCGCTGCGAAGTTCCATGGTATGGTTACATCTAATTCGTACAAGTCCTCGAAAATAGCCTTCTACTTTGTAATGCACGCATAGTGCACGTTTAAACCAATCCTTGGCGCTAGTACGATGTTCGTATACTGAAAATAAACATCTTTTTTTGTGCATGTTACCGTTATCTTTTACTACTTTCCCTGAATTCGTATTTAATTATAAATTTATATATATTATATATACATTTTTATATATATTATTATATATTTTTTTATATTTTTTTATATTATTATTATTATATATATTTATATATTTTTTTATATTATTTTATATATATTTATATACATTTATATATTTTTTTATATTATTTTTTATATATTTATATACATTTATATATTTTTTATATTATTATATATATATATGTATATTTTTATATTATAAATTATAAAAAAAGTTAAAAAAACTTAGAAAAGTTAATAGACGGAATGCG